AAATGAATGCCTTAAATTTAGCTAATCAGTAGGCATTTGTATGTCACTCTTGAAATCCACCCTGTAAGAAGGCAGAGCTATGACTGAAAGAAATATACTTTCACTGTATTTCATGCATAAGTTCAGACCGATTTGCATGTAGAATGAGAACAAGCCTGTACCTCACCTGACTTGTGGAGGCTGATGGATCGCAGATTAGGAAACAACCTGGCCAATGAATCATCAGGCTCCTCGATAGCATTCAGATGATTGTTAGCCAGGACAAGGGTGTCCAGCGAAGGAAACATAACCCCTAGCTTGCGTATTTCAGTCCAGTCTTGGAGGTTATTGTCTGTTATATGTAGTAGCTTAAGAGAAGGACAGCAAATAGAAGGACAAGACACTGTTTCATAGTCATTAAGGCACAGGAAGAGCTCTTCCAAACTGCAGAGAAAAAAAGGAAATATTTCATTGTTTAAAGCAGTTGAGTTTCTACTCTGCGCCTATTTTCATTCATTCAATAAAGTAAAAAGTGCCTGCTATGTATGAGACTCTGCTAGGTGTTGTAGAGAAAATACAAAGATGCCTTCCTGAAGCTTAAAATACAGCTGGGAAGACAAAACCTAACATACGTACAACAGCAGAGAATGACATAACCCAGGACTGAGCTGGCTGTGTGCTTAAATAACTAAGTGCTAAGTGGAGCAGCACCAAGTTCAAGTACAACAGTACTTCATACAGAAATGGAACTGAAATTGTAGTTTATCGGGAAAGGTTACATGTCCTCCAAGGAGCAGTAGTTGCTCAACTTGCGTAAGTCGAGAGGAGATAGAAAAATATTCTAGGAACAACATGAAAAAGTGTTTAGAAACAGAAATAATAACTATCGTTTGCTGAATTCCTACCCTGTGTCAGGCCCTGGGCAGGTGCTTCACAGACTATTTCTATTTCTGCAGTCTTATAGACGATGATGCCCATTTTATGGACAAGGAAACAGAGCTCAAAGAGATTAATTAGCTTATCAAAGGTCATACGGTTAGTAAGTGGAATTGGGATTTAAAAGCTCATTCTATGCCATGCTAGATGGTGCATGCAGTGAGGAAACCAATCTCAGCAGAGGCAGAGTGAGAAACTAAGATGGAGTAAGTGAGTTGAGACCAGATTCTGAAAGGCTCTGATAATTCCCATATTTGGACAGTCAAGGAGACTACAGCTCCATATATTTCTTTAAACTACTTCCTTTGAATATTTATGTGCATATACAAAGATAGATACAAACAAAACAGAGCATTTTTACACTGACAAACAAAAGTATAATTTCCTGCTTAAATTATTGAAAAGAATACTAGGTCCATTCTCCCATCATGCCAGCTAGGCACTTAGTCATCTGAGTGTTACTATATTTTAGAGACACTATGATTTTTCTTCCCCCCAAAGAAAAGGGCTAAGGCAAAATTCTGGAATCGGGTAATCAGAAGATTAAAATGGAAAAAGGCTGGGCTGATCTCGAAATGATAAGTGCTTCTCAGGGATATTTGCTGGTCAAAAGATGACATATCCTATGTCTTAGTGCCATTCAGCACTGAACAAGTATTCCAATGAAAATGCTACCAGATTACCCTCACACCCTCATTTAATTACTTCATTTTTCTAACCTCATTCTCCATTCAATCTGCCGTTCTAGAATTTCTGAGATGGGAGCTCAGCAGTAACTCTAGGTACTAACACAGACGGCCACACAGCTCCCTCTCCATCATGCTCTCTGGGCTTACTCTGGTAACTCCTGCAGTATCGTGTGGACTGTCTCCCAAGAAGCTTTGCTGTTGTTGAGGACAAGTTTTCGAACCCCAGAGAAGGACCCAGCACACGTTCTTTCTAAAACCGATAAATTCAGAGGGTTGGAACTCAGGTTTAGAAACTCCAACTGGGGAACATTTGACACAATTTTACTGACCTATGGGAAAAAAAAAAAAAAGACAAGCATATCAGGCAGTAATCAGAGCTTTTAGACAGCAATCATATTCAAGAAAACCTAAGTGAGTGGGTTTCCAGGCAAACGGCCATTTAACATTAGGGGGTCCTGTTTAGTGATGGTACCCACAGAGGGGGATAAGTAATTTCAACCAATCTTGGCAAGTAAGTTAATCTCTTTCCATGAAATAGTGGCATAACTGAAAATTAATGGTATAAAAGAAAGATTTTCCATGTTGCCTTTGGCAAGGTTTTTGATTCTGCTCTACAAGATACTCACTTTGATATCTCTACATGACATTTTGGAGAAAAGATCCTTTAGATGACATTTTAGATTTCAAGTTTCTAAAGAGCTGAGAATGGGTCATATACAGTAATTCTCTTTGAATATTTCCTTCCTCCCATCCCTAGGACAACATTAAGGTTCATTAAAGTTTTATTGAAGACCACATTGTAACAATTCAGGAATTCAAAATTGATTACATAGTCATAATCACTTAGAAAACAGTTTCAGCTTGGTTTAAAGATGCACCAAATTTTAAAATACATTCACTCAAAAATACAAAGCATCTGTAACTATATTACAAAAGAGAAAACACGATCGATTTAATGATTTAGCTAGCTAGCAACGTGGCAAGCAGAAAAGAGAAAAAAAAGGAAATGAGCATTACTGAGTATTGACCTTCACTATCTGCTCTGCATTGTGCTAGCTTCTTTGATAGAACTTAATTTACTAAATTCTCTGAACAACTTGCAAGATAACTACTATTATTTTATTTTTAGTAAATGAGGAAACTGAGGCTCAGAGATGTTAAATAATTTGAGTAAGGTTTCAGAGTCACAAAAGCCAAATCTAGGATTTAAAAATCAGAGCCATTGTTCTTCCCAGTATACCACAACTAGTAAATCATAAATATAACCAGAAAAAAAAATGAAGAACTAGCTTAAACAAGCATGAAATAAATGCTAGAAGCCCAGTAAATGTATTAAATGTAAAGTGTATTAGACATCAAACGGCCAGGCAATGTGGTAACTAAAAGTTATGAGAAAAGGAGTAGAACAGAATAGTTAGAATTGGTTTTAGAGTCAGAAACCCTGGGTTCAGACGAGGTTGCAGTACTTCCTAGCTGTGTGGTTTGACGAGTTACCTAACCTTTGCAAATCTCAGTTTCCTTATTTGCAAACTAGAGAAAAAGTATCCACCTATTTTACAGTATTGTTGGCAGGATTAAATGAGATACATGAGTAAAGCACTTAACAGTGATCGGTACATCTTTTAGAAACTTGTTTCCGTACCTACTTCCCAACAGAATGTAAACTCTATGAAAGCAGGGATGGCACTTAGCCTAGTTCACAACTGCATAGTGACTGGCATTTAGCGTTTGTTGAATAAATTAATGGCACAAAACCACTTAATAAATGTAACTATGACTAATAGGATAGGTAGAGAATGAACCAATATCTCAGCCCTGGCTATACATCTTACCACATTTATGTCATATTTAAAATCATTGGTAGAATTTTTAAAATATATTGGTTTCCCAGGATCTACCATAAACTACTGAACCATAGGTGGGGTAAGTTTCATGGTTGGGACCTCGGCACCTGTTTCTTTTCAAAGCTCTGCAAGTAATGACAAAAGGGTATCCAGTGTTGAGGACTATGGGAAAGGAAAAGCCGTTTTCACCTTACGTTAGATCTGTGCGCTGCGTACCGTACGGTTCAGGAGCCCTAAAATCAGTGGGAAGCAGACTGCAAACAGGTGCAGAGAAGTAAGTTAGAGGGCGTGGTCTTTACATACAGTGTTTCATCTATACGAACACTAACCTTCTTGATGTAGTACCATAGTTATTCTCATTTTATAAGTAAATAAGGTTTTAGAGAAAATACACTAGGCTTCAGTTTAAAATGTAAGGAATTCATACCAGTCTGTACATATACTCCTGTCTAATCTCTTTGTGATCAAATGGTACTAAGCATTAGTGGAATATATGGCTAGGATTTAGAGTCTACGCTGTGGCCACAACACAGCGAAAGAGTCTAGGCAGAAACCAACCCTTTAGTGTGTTCTACCACCTGGATCCCAATGACAGGAAGGACTTTCACACAGAAGATGACGACTTTGCTTTACCTCTTTCAAGGGCAAAGAAAAAAAAAAGATGATGAGGAATTTTGCTCCAATTACATCATGAAGAATAACCGCTACAGTACAACCCCAGTTAAATAAACACAAAACATAAACCCTTTGCTAACCACCACTCCTCATATTTTACTTTTATAATAAAGAAGAAAACACTCCCCCCAAAATGGATACTATCAGAGCTCTTGAAGTGGTTTCTGAAGGAATTCCCGAGGCTAGCAGATATACGATGTAATCGTCTTCATGGTCTGTATCTGCACTACTGTCCAATGAGAATAAAGACTTAGAATCATGACTTGTTAGTCCTAGAATATCCTTAAAAAGATAAAAACTAAACTACTGTTTAATAATTCAAGCAGGAAAAGTAATATATGTTAGAAATAAATATCTTCTTTAAAAGGTTAAAATGAAAAAGGATTTTTGACCTTAAATTAATGGAACTTAAGACATTCCTTACACAAGTACATCTATTTATGACAGAAACACGTCTTAACAGTAAAGGCGGACACTCAGCAAGTGTCTAGGAGAGTATACTGACTTCTCTTTTTTAAATTCTAAAAATAAAAAAAGACTCCTCTAGCTGGAGTGAGCTGAGGATACTCACGTGCAGAAACACGGAGATGCACATAGATCACCTTTTAGATGTCTCTGTGATTTAACAGGGGACCCTCTACTCTGACTTTTAAAAAGAAACTAAAGTTTTAAGAAAAATGGGGAAAGGGTTGTAAGATAACAATCTGTAACTTATACCCCAGCTATTCTCTGCCTCACCTGAGCGGCGAATTCCTCCCTCCTCTCAACTGCTTCGTTTAATTCCTTCTATAAAATGTTTTTGATAAGGAAGGGAGGAAAAAAGAGATACCTTGGGAAAGGTCAGACTAAAATCTACTTAGCCAAAAAATTCAAGTCAAAAGCTAAAAAATTCATCTTTCTGTTAAACACAGATGCCCAGTTTTAGAAGGATGGAGACAAATCTTTGCCTGCCCACAAAGGATTACATTTCTCACTCACATTTATATTAGTCTCTGGATATATAGCAGCCGGCAGTTTAAACTATAAAAGAAGTCACTCCTAACATTAGTGATCATTCAGAAACGCTAAAAGAACAAACTACATTACTTTGTACCACATTCCTGTATCAAACACTGGCTGAAATAAACTTAGTTAATGGCCAGGGACAAATGATCTTTTTGGTAATCAAATATATGGGTTGTAATGGGTTGAAATGTAACGTCTTAAAACTGTGACCTATGAGGCATTTTGAAGCTTGGCAAAGAGTTTAATCAATTCTAAAAATCAATATTCTTTCACTGCCAGTATTATTCCCATCTCTCTGTATTCTGCTATATATTCTGGAAGACTGGGAGTAACAACAGTTAAGGCTAAGGACAAAATAGAAAGGAACAATGAAAACAAAAATAAATTGAAAAATGGAAACCTGAAGGGTAGCAGCAACAAATATTCATTGGAAAACAGCTGGAAAACAGAGTACAGAGCACTTACAGGATTATACACACCGAGCACAGAGTACAAATAAACATGTGAACCTCTGCCTATATATGTCAACGTGGGCTGGAAAATATTTGGTGTAGCCCTTTGTCTAAGCAGAGAAGAGGCTGAGTTACCTAGTATAAACCCTGTGTTCTGATCCATGTTGACATAAATCGTTCTTCTGAGGCAGCAACTACATCACTGTTAACTGTTCCTACGAGTTAGCAAAAGTTTATGTATGTAGTCAAAGCACAAAGCACAAAACCTCTTGTGAAATTTTTACTCCCAAAGAAACACATTTAGGGGACTCAGCCTGTGAACACAGGAGCTGAGATGATTCAGGGGAAGATCTGGTCTGACTTGTCACCCACGCAGGTCAAAAATCTCACCAGAGGCTCAGCAGCAGGACTACTGTGGGAATTGTGGAGAAGGAGGATTAACAAGGTAGTTCTTTCTTCATCTCTGCAGTGTGGACAGAGCATGCATGTCAACTAAGCATCTCAAAGGACCAAGAAGGCATAGATTGTAATTTGTTGAACAGTGAACTATAATAGTTGTTTGGACAAGAAAAACAATCAATCAATTTACATGTACAAAAAGAGATTGTTTCTTGGAACAGCCCTGTAAATCTGCACATATTAACATATGACTTAGAAATCAAGTAACTTGCATCTCGAAGAATTTTGGTAAATATCTCAATAAAAATAGGAAATATAATTGGAAGCAGAGTTACCAGATTAAACAAGACTATGAAACAGATGAATATAAGAAAAGCTAAAGAAAACTATAGGTTATAGACAGATTTTTCTTAAAGAAAGCTGTCTTAGAATTTGTATTACATTTAATATCTGCCAAGTGCCTCAATGATTAATTTTTTCGGCAGCCCTGTCTTATGGGTGAGCAAACTGAAGCACTGAATGATTAAGTGAATTTCTTAAGATCACAGGAAAAGTTCACAAGAGCAAGTAGTCTTGATCAAACCTGAATATACAATCATTTATTCATTAGTGCATTCAGCAAACATTTGAACGCCTAGTATGCTAGGTGCTGATGATTCAAGAAAGCTTTTAATAAGCCACAGTCTGGCAGGAAAAATGTCAGGTAAATCCTTTCCTAGCACCATGATACAGGTGATGGGATGATCTAATTCTGCCTAAGTAAGAGCTGGGGAAAGTTTCACAGAGGAACAGCAACTTGGGCCAAGTCTTGGATGATACATAGGAAGTGGCTGGGTAGACAAGAAGAGAAAGAAAGCAGTAGATTCAGAATGAATAAAAGCAAGGAAGCTTTTTGTGTCACGATTTATCATGAGCTGCAAGAAAAGCATATGGTCAAAGGTGGAGATAAACCTCTAGAAACAGCATAGGGCCGTATGATGGAGAGTCACACTTAGAGAGTTCAGATCTTAGTTTGTAGGCAGTGAAAAGCCGCTAAAGGACTTCAACCAGGAGAGTTTCATAATCACATTTCATTTATTAAAAGGAGTCTGGTAACTGTGTAGAAGGTAGCTTAGAGGGAGCAGGGTAAAACTGGAGGCAGGAAAACCCATTAGGACACTTTTCCAATAGTCCAAGCAAGAAATAAGAGCCTAAATTGAGGCAGGAAATCAAGTAGGAAGAGCTATTTTTCCCTTATCCTTAAGGGTAGCTTCTATCAGGTAATGTAACAATCAGGTGGGTAATGTTGTACATAATGGTCATAATACTTTTATTTCTCTGGGCAACTTGGTTTAGAGTTACTCTGAGGTCAAAGGCATCAGTTATGTCAAATCACCAAAAAGACTTAATAACATAAGGAAAACATCTAAAATATTTGGAATAAATTTCAGTAATAAGAATAAATATTTTTATAATCTTAGTTTCAAGCTCAAGCAATTTTTATGTCAATTTATAGCAATATATGTTGAAGTAGCAGCTGAGAATAAGCTGTAAACTAGTGAAAAAGTTGAGAACTGAATGCGTGGTTAGCAGTCTAAACCGCTGTGGTCTTATTAACCTCTTGATGCCCGGAATAATGTTCCTCAGTGCTTTCTGCATTAGCAGAAAAGAAATAAGCAATAACAAAGTAAATTTAAAAATCACCGTAGAAACAGCTGAAGCAGTCAGTTATGTAAATGGAGGCATACAGACAAGACTCTCAAGTGCGAAGCAGAATTCAGCAGCATACATAACAACACAAATGATAATACAGTGAGTTACTGCTGCATTTCACCAAGACGCAGCGATATTACCTCGTGCCAGTCTTCCAGTTTGTTGTCAGAAAGATCTAGTTCCGACACGTGAGCACAGAAGGCAGCGATTTCTTTTTCGTCTCCTGCACAGGTTATTCCACAGCTGTTCAACACCAGTACACTCGGGAGGTTGAGGCGATCTGAATCACGGGGGAAACAAAACACTTCCGACGTCAGCCTAATTCTTGTGTACATACATTTAGCCGCCAGGAATCAAGACCAAACTGTGTGAGCTTACGCAAGGACCTGGAAAATACAGGATATTATGGGGCCCAGGGGTCCTGAATTCTACGGGGAGACAGCCCAATGTGACCCAGGAGGATCTCAGAAGCACTGGACCAGTACCACCAAGAAGTCCTGGAGGCTTTACCTCCCAAGCAGGACTGTTTATCTCGACTACCAGCAACAGAGCCATCATCCCTGCTGCCAACTTCTCACCTGAGCACGAGATTCACGTGATTCGTGTCTGGACTACCACCGTCTTCTTCCTGGCCTCAATTCTTTCTTTTATTAACTTAGTTCAAAAATATCATTCCAGATAGTTCTTTTCTCTGATATGTATTTTCACCTCTTTTTTTGCCTTTGAAAATTATCTCAAACCATAGATAGTCTACCTGCTAAACCACTTCTGTAGTTCCAGTTCACACCATTCAAAAAATCTTCCTCCCTTACGTGGATCCATTTAAAAATCTACATCTCTTTCTCTCATACTTATCCATCAGTCAGTCCCCTTTCATATCCATGTAGAATTTGTTGCTTGCGAAAATTAGACTTTTAAAAATATATAATTGTAATGAGAGGAAATGTTTCTCAGGCTTAAGCTATTCAATGAATTCAGTCAAACTACTGTTTGTTCAAAAATATGTGTCAGTAAAATCACACTATCTCTAATAAAAAGGATAAATATTAGAATTCAATCACTTTTTTCCTATTTGGTATAAAATGAAGGCTCACAAAAGTACTATTTTATTAATGGAGGCCTCAAATAATATGATTTTTCAACTTAGTACTTTTCAATTCCTCCAAATGGGAACGCATCATGAAAAAAAAAATGACCAAGGAAGAAGTCTACTTCTTTCTGCCTTCCAGTTTATATGGAGTGATAAGATAACTGTATTGAGAGATAACAAACACTCAGTAACCTTTGGGCACAGGAACTAAAGCACTGTTCAATATTAATCTCCCATAATTACAAAGAACTACTTTCAAGATCAGTTAATTGCAACACTAAGCTAAACTGCAAACATAAGACACATCTTACACTTATCTAGCTGTAGATCTTTGCTCACATCATAATCCACCTCCTAGAATGTCTTCATCTCCTCTCTAACCAAATTCTACATTCTTGAAGGGTTAATTCAAGTCTTATAGCTTTGAACCCTTTCTTGATCAAACTAATTAACTCTCTTTGGCTCAACATAAACTACCTTGTGTTATTATATTATTTACAAAGATATGTGTCTTTGTAAATGTGAATATCTTGTAATCCAATAGGCTGTAAGGTTATTGAGAACACTGGTCAATCTTTTACTATTTTACATCCTCCAAGTTCCTTGAAATATTATTACTCAAATATTGCTCCTGCCCTGTGAGTACAACTGAAATGTCTTTTGACCGATCCAGAGGGAAAGAAGTCCTTTCAGGTTTTTCAAAAAACTGATTTCACAGCAAGGGAGAAAGACCCATAATTCAAAAGAAAGGAAATCATTTGCAAATAAGACAACATTCTGGTTTAATGTCCTAAGTAAGCTCCAGTAAATAAATGTTTTAGTCCCATCTTTCTTACCTTTCATAGGAGAGCCCTGAGGTGTGGCTGGGACATGGACTCCCATCCCAGGACCACGGCGGTAAGGGAAGTTTTCAGGACTATATTTTTCACATAATACTTGCATAAAACTCCTTCCACTAGGTTGATCCATTGTCCTTTCCTAAAATTCTACAAGAAACCAAGAAATCATCAAAATTACTTATTTACTCATACAATAAATATTTACTGAGAATCAATTATTTACAAGGTACTAAGCTAGGCATAGCAGACATGTAAGACATGGTCACTGCCCCCAGGAACTGCCACTGTGGTGATAACTTATGGTTTAGGGAAGCTACATCTGTAGACAGATGGTAGCAACACAGTCCAGCGTAACTGCAACAGACATGAAAAGTGCAACAAGATTTGGAAGAGGACGCAATCATTCCCAGCTAAGGGTACCAGGAAGACTTTTGGCTGATGTATAGGGTTCATGTGGTTACAGCAGAAAGGACTGAAAAAGGAACGTACAGATTAAACATCAGACTAAAGAGTTTGGATGAATTCTCTTACATTTGTCTTTTAAACTCCTCTCCTTTTCTTCCATAGAAAAAGACTTTGTAACTGTATACATGGCCACTTCTATTTAAGAATGAGTATATAAGTTCTAGTTGATGGGATTAAAAGTAAGAAATTCCATGGCAACTTCTGGGAATCATCCTTAAAAGGTAGCCAGAGTTTGCCCTTTGCCCTCCTGCTTTGTCTCCTCCTCAGTTCTACTGCCTAGAAAACAGATGCCACCCTACACCATGAGCCCAAGGAACACATCCTAAGGAAGGCAGAGCAAAGAACTGAAGAGGATCTAGGTCCCTAAGGATTTCATTGAACTGAACTGCTATCCTGGTGCTAGGCTGCATAGCCCTAGAAATTTCAGTGCAAGAGAAACAACCTGTTTTATTTAAGCCACTGTTTTTTGGGTTTTTGTTTGTTCGTTCGTTTGTTTTTTCAGTTTTTCAGTTACCTACAAATGGACCTAATCCTAACTAACACAGAATGTCACTTCTTTTGGTTTTGGGTTTTGGGAGAGTCTTAACCTCAGCTAAAGGTCCAAATATACAGTAATTCCAGCACCCTCTTAGTCCTCATGCATAGGTTAAAACAGGTAATATTAAACAACATGCTAACTTCTGCTGACCCATTATCTTGAAGGACTGGACTTTGACCTGTATTAAATATAAATCAAAATGTAGGCAACTAATTGTCCTCTATAGTTTCAACTATTAGATATCCAGCTTCCTACTAAAATAATCAGAAAAAGGAAGGAGGATAAAGAGAACTCAAAGAAGAAGGGACATCATTAAAAAGGTAGAGCAGTGAGAATGCACAGTGGTACCTACGAGTACCCACAAGAGATCTACTAGCAGACAGCGTCAGGAGTATCTAAATCGGAACCTCAGAGGGGATCTTGTACGCTACATTAAGAGGCGGAACTTCATTCTGTAGGAAACAGGAGGAAACTTACAGGTTTTGAGGAAGGGAATACAACAATCAAATTTTTTGGAAGACATCCTGGCAATTAAGTAGCTGATTAACTTGAGGGAAACAAGACTGATGGCAGGGAGCAGAGTTATATGTCACAAAAATACAGGGGAGAGATGATGAGGGCTCAAAGTGATACAGTGGTTAGCACAAGAAAGCAAGCAGTGGCAGATTCAAGGTCAATTTAGAAAGCAAGCTTTTATAGGGGTTGTGGGGAAGCTGGAGTCAAGGCTGACCCCCAGCTTTCTATACAGGTGACTAAGTGACTGGTGATACTGTTAAGTAAAAAGAAAACTTGGAGAGACCCAGTTTTAAGAAAGAAAATGATGAATTCTATTTTATATGTGTTCCATCTGAGGCATCTTTAAACTCAGTCCATTTTCTAGATTACCAGGACCATGTTTACTATACTTTGTGAAATCAGTTCACAAATGTCTAGAGCACAAGAGCAGATACTCACTGTGCATATGTCCAAACGTCTTATCTGTAGAGTTTACCAAAGTTTAGACTAAGGAATACATTTCATAATGAGTATGAACAAGTCACCTTGAAAATACAGGGCTGCCCTCTGTCAGGACGGTCATTTGTGGGCTTAAGGATAGAGCCTGTTCTGGTACAAGACAGTTCGTTCTTTCTACCCACACAGAGTGCTAAGTGTACGCTTCTGTCCCCTAACCCAGCATCGACTGTGGCAAAACTGAATGCGTGCATCTAGGACTCCAGGAACCTCTGGGTGGAAAGGTCTTTTTCAGTGTAAACTCATCACAACAGCAGACACACAGAGTAGGTGCTACGCCAATAGTGACAGGCGCCAAAGACCTGTCTCAAGCAGAATGCCAACGGAATTTTCAGAAATGTTTAACAAAAAGTCAAAGAAATTACACTGCTATCTTCCATACAACTGGCAGTTCGAAAGAATAAAAAGTGTGCGGGAGGATGCTCAACTGTCAGCGTCAAAACAATAGTCACTGAGTTTAACTCGCATCTTTTAAGTGGAAGCTGCAGAATCACTTGAACTCAAACCTCTTCCATTCAAGGGCAGTAATCTTGTACACCGTTCAAATACAGGCAGAGTGTGGAATTAAAGAAACCTCAGCTAAAACTGGAGTCTGGACAGGACTATGGACAGGCCCCTGCTGCACAACACAATTACTCTCACAGCAAGAGCTGCAGGCCTACAGCAGGAAGATGCTGCCTACTTTACCATCCAGTAGGGAGAAGAACACTCCCCTCTGCCCAGCAACAGCCCAACCAGTCAGAGACTGGAGCAACCCAACCTACCTCCCTACTTTGGACTTGAGCTTCCGCCAGTGGACTCTGGTTATGACACACCTTCTCAAGTCCTGGCCTTTTCCCTATAAAAGCAAGGTCCCTTTCCCTGTTCTCTGGATTCACCTACTGGTCTGCCATTGTTTGCATATCTCAAACTGAAATCCTCTGGCTATTCCAGAATAAACTGGCTTTTGCTGGTTAAATAACTGGCTATTATATTAAAACTGATACAAGGGATGGTAAAGTTAGACACACGCAAATTAAAGTGCTAGGAAGCAAGCAATCATGGAGACTTAAAGTTATTCCTCATGGCTCTATGCTTTAACAATTCTTCCAGATAGTCTGGGTTTTTTTTTAATTTTTCTTTTTTTTTTCCCTTAGGACTTAAAAGCAATGCCAGACGCCTTCACTGGTCATTTTCCAGGATACTCTATCGGAACAGCTTTCCAGGAATGTAGATAGCGTACACAGTAATACATGGGTTTTGAATTAGAACATTAAGATTGCAAAATGGATCAGTAACATAAATCTACTCAAAATCTGTCTGGGCAGTTGGAGCAGGAACAGTAGGTGGGAAAGGAAAACTGAAAACCAAACAGACTGAAAAATGAGGAAATACAGGATGGAAAAAGATCTTTAACTGGAGCCTTTTAAAAGGTTTTCTGGGGTCGGTGGGGTAATCATCTATGACTTTCTGGAAAGAACAGGCGTCAGATCACATCTGACCACCTCTACAGCTGGCGGAGTCCTAACGCATTTGTAAAAGTGTCCTGAATTGTCTTTAAAGCCAGGGAGCCAGGAACCTGGGGTGATGCTGACTGGTTCTATTAGCAAGTCGTGCGGTGTGCCTGCGAAAATCGCAACTCCTTTGTGCCTCAAATCCTGACTACAACACGCGCTTATAAAGTGGTTGGTGGGAGTGCAAGCTGGAGGATGAGGTGCTCAGCACACCTTTGCCAAATAGATGAATAACAGAACAAAACATCTAGTCACCTAAGTATCCTCAATTGCTATCAAGCAACTTGTACTTTATGTTCCCAAAGGCCAGGTCAAAATTAGTATGAAACTCAGCACAACCGGAAACAACAGAAAACAGGCCATGTCTGGCCACTAAGAGTGGAAGATACGCGAGACACAGCCTTATGCTGGTATGTAAGGTCATACTTACTTCACAAAAAAACTTTATGATAGAGAACCACACACTTCATAAAGGGTGACTACCCCAAGCCTCACTCACACATTCTAAAAAATAAAAATACTACTCCACAGAGTCCCCAAATACACATTTTAAATCTTATAAAGAGTAAATTAATCTGACTATACAGGCACAGACTACCTCCAGGAGGATAAAACCGAAGTTAGTAAAGCTAACACCTGTGGCTGACGCCAAAGAAAGGAAACGAGGAATGCGGGTGAAAAGGAGATTTCCTTTTCAGTGTTCACCCATGCGCACCACCCAAGCTCACCTGATGCATACATCATCCTTCTTCCCCCACACATTACCTTTTCAAAAAATGAAACATTTTAAGGGATATAATGATCTAATAATCTGTCAAAGTGTTTTTTGAGTCCTCATTATTATTGTCTGTTCAAAAAAAAATTCCAAATTGGAGCATGTGGAATACATAACAGTAATAGTAATTTTAAAAGGAACTGGGGAGTGAGGAAGAAAAGAGAAATAAAATGGGCGGCCAAACAAGAATAGACACTTAAGTAAAAGAGCACTGGGAGAAAAAAAAAAAGCAGAATAAAACACACTTGAACCTCAGACCAAAACTACGATTAGAATGTGGTGGGGGGGAAATGAAGAGGGTCGGAGGGCCAGGCTATGGGATTTTATTAGTCCTCACGTGGCTCTAACATGCGCAAAGCAAAAGCTCCACCAGGAAGTGTACAGAGAGGCTGGAAGAATGCCCTCAGGCCTGCGGTGTAGCTTCCTTTGCAGCCAAGTTAACCGTGTTCAGAAAACTCACCCAAAGATTTCACCCAAATGACCCAAATGGTATCCAAACTCTCGTGACTCTGGAACCACTGCAGCTCCAGGAGGCAGAGGTTACAAAGCCATAAGCCTAAGGGCACCTGGGAGCTTCAGGCCTCCCAGTCACCTCCCACCGCAGTGGGAAGCCCATCCTGCAGGATTCAAATTCCCGGAATAACAAATAGTTGGAAACTGACTGACAGTTCTAAAACATAAACTGCAGTAATTCAAAATATGTATCAACGTAGGATGAGGCTGAACACGCAGGAAGAGCCTGCACAGCACAGACACAATGCAGAAGAGACAAGCACTCCCAGTTTTCAGTCATCTGACCTGGACCCACTGACACACAACGGACCGATCTTATCCACGCATCAGAGAAGGACACAGAAAACGGCTC